GCAGTCCCCAACCTTTTTTGCACCACAGACTGGTTTTACGCAAGAAATTTTTCTGACGGACCGGTCATTGCACACATAACAAAAAATAATATATTTTTCTATTAAAAAGTTTCACAAACAAATCAAATTACTTGCTAAATATGTGTTTACTTTTTCTTCTGTCTCAGCGTTGAGTCTCTTCCACTTTCCAAAGAAGCTTTCTGGAGACGTTTGTGTTTTTTTATACATTTCAGCAGCAGTTAGAGTGACGACTTCGTTTAACAGCGAACATGAAAACTGACAGTCAAGTGCGGGAAACAAGCACAGACGGAAGTGTCGGGAAGACGATCTAGCCCTTTTTCCAAAAAAAACACCTTGTAGACTGGAAATAAAAAATAAAGCAATACAACTTTTTTTTTCTTTCTACCAAATGACCCACGGCCCGGTACCGGTCCGGTGGCTGGGGACCTCTGATTTAAAAAATAATATAATGTAGATGATAAACGATAGGTAAATGTAGTTTAATGTAGCAGTAGTGATGAGAATTAATTTCTGTCTCACTCTTTGTCAAGGAGCCTAAAGAAGAAGAGATGACAGAGGAGGAAAAAGCAGCTCAGAAAGCCAGGCCGGTAGCCACGAACCCAATCCCCGGCACGCCTTGGTACTAACCTCACATCACAGCACACACTCTCTTCTACACTCCACTTTATGGCAGTACATCGTTGGCTTTCTTGTTGTTCTCTTGTAATTCATGTCTGTCGATATGCATCAGGTGTGTGGTGTGGACGGGCGACGACCGCGTGTTCTTCTACAACCCGACAACTCGGCTGTCTATGTGGGATCGCCCTGAGGAGCTGGTGGGTCGAGCTGATGTTGACAAGCACATCCAGGAGCCGCCACACAAGAGAGGCCTGGAGGACAGCAAGAAGACAGGTGTGGACAGACACACTCGCATGCATTCAGCATTTTCGATATTGAACACAGGCTCTAGATTTAGTACTAAATCTTTAAGATTTGAAAAAGTAGTTATATTCTGGTTTTTATATTGAACAAGGTGTTTTCAATGTTTCGTATGTTTAAAAAAAAAAAAAAAAAAGCGAAGTGTTGCTATAAATCTTACGTTGTATTTTACAGTGTACGTATTCTTTTTCTTTATTTTGTGTGCATGTTCATGCATAGGTGTCAGTAAGGAGGAGCCAGAATTATCCATTGCAACTGAAGAGAATCAGGATGAGGAGCCAACCAAAGCCAAAAAGAGGAAGTAAGTGTCCCATCATCCAATGCTGTAGTAGGGGAGACATTTTGGTTTTGGCTAAATAGTTACAAATAAAATTGGTGAGTTAGCTTAATCTTGCTTTTTATTTTTTTTTTTGCAAATAACATACACATCTCTGTTACACAATAACACTCAACGTTTGTTTCTGGGATTTACTGGGATCTAAGTGACAGAAGTGAAATGTCACAACTGACCTCACTGGCAGGAATCATTGTAACAGACGGCTGGTTTGTTGTAAAACCTGCTAAAGAAAAAGTCTATGTGAAGACAGTTAATTCAGTACAATTGTGCCTGTGCTATAGGTGGATACTGTTTGGGCAGCTATGTATGATTGATAGATATCTACACATCTGTCCATTTCTCATTTAACAATTCATCCATCATGATGGAAAGATCGATACATAGATTGTCAGATATATATGGACACTATCTATTCATCTATTTTTCATCTATGATAGATGAGGGATAATTAGGTACTTGTAGACATCTATTTCTCTTCCCATCTATGTTATAGACGAATGGGCAGGTATCCATACAGCTCTATTTAGTCTGTCAGTCTATCATGGATAAATATTTAAATGGATGGCTTGATAGATGGAGTATATTCACAATAGATTCTAGATCCAAATGGCAAAATATGTATGAATATTCACAAGAGACATGGAGAAATGTTTTTTGTCTACAAGGTAGGCAGCACACATGAAAATCATGTCTTAAAATCACTTTGATTAGCCACACAACAAAATGTTTGGGAGCCAAAAGTTCAAAAAAGCTCAATCTGGTGAATGGATATCACATTCTTTGGGAAAATTAGTTTCTAGAATCAGTTGTTTTTGTTACAGTTCTGTTACTGAGTTCGTTACATGTTTCAGTGCCATGCCTAATGCAGCAAGACAATTATTAGAATGACATAAGGTTACACACACAGCTCACTAATTGAAGAACAGTAATGATACAGAAATTTACTTTCATGCCACCAAAACACTCTTTGCCACAGATCTCCACAAAAACACCTCCAAACTCTTCGCTTATGGCAAAACACTACAACTACAAAACAGGAGCATGCCCTACTCAATCCTGTGCAACTATGCGAGAAGTCCACGAGACATTAAACCCCACAATAAAAAATGTTCTGTCCAAATAAACAATGTCAAACTTTGTTAAACCTTTTCTTACTTTTTTCTTACCTTTTAACTCCATTTAACCCTCACAGGAAGGAAGACGTGAAAGAGGCAGACTCCGAGAAGGAAGCAGCGATGGAGGCGGAGCTCAGAGCTGCCAGAGAAAGAGCTATAGTGCCGCTAGAGGCCCGGATGACCCAGTTCAGAGAAATGCTGCTGGAGAGAGGGGTAACACAGACTTTACATTGAAATAACTAGCTATTTTAACACAATTTGTCTTAGGGTATTAAGTCAAAATGATGCTTCATTTGGACCTTATTGTTTAAATTACTTAATTCTTCCTTTATATGTTAGGCCTTTTAATATTTACTAGTGAGCTTTCGCGGTATGTGGTCATGGTTTAGCTTTCTGTCTAATGCCAGCGCTGTCTGTGCTATGTGCAGGTATCTGCATTCTCCACTTGGGACAAAGAACTTCATAAGATTGTGTTTGACCCACGTTACCTTCTGCTCAATCCAAAAGAGAGGAAACAGGTTTGGTCTTTTTTCCTTTCCTTAGTGTTTCTCTGTTCACTGTCACCCTTTCTTGTAGTATTTTGTCAGGCACTAGCTATTTTGAAAATTCTTTAGTCACAGTCTTATGATCACATCGTCTTTAGGTGTTTGATCAGTATGTGAAGACGCGAGCGGAGGAGGAGAGGAAGGAGAAGAAGAACAAGCTGATGCAGGCCAAAGATGAGTTCAGGAGGATGATGGAGGATGCGAAGCTCACCCCCAGGTAAAGGCACAGGACTGGTAGTTTGTGATGAGAGCTGTAAATGCCATTATTGATATGTTTGCTGTAATTTAATGATATTCAGTGAGGCGAGTGACGAGTTATTTTACAATGTCATTCTTGGTGATGTTCAACACAATATTAAATAAATAATTCCATATAAGTTATATGTATATTTTTTCTTTCTATTTGCACTAAAGAGATAATTTTATGAGATGTTTGTAATCTTGCTCTGTAAAAAAAACTAATTGAAGCTGCAATTTTTGTTTTTTCATCTTCGCAGAACGACGTTTAGTGAATTTGCAGTGAAGCATGGCCGAGATCCACGATTTAAGACCATAGAGAAGATGAAGGACAGGGAGGCTATCTTCATAGAGTTCATCACTGCGATGAGGAAGAGAGAGAAAGAGGACTCCAAATCCAGAGGAGAGAAGGTATCCCTGACTCACACCTAAATATACAGTACCTCTCTCTGGAACAAAAGAGCTTTAAAGGTCCCATATGGCAAAAATTCATTTTTATTTTGTTTTGTGGTGGTTAAATACTTACTAGCTTAGCTGCTTTACAAGAAAGTAAGAATTCAACCCAGGTGCTACGTAACATCTAATTAATCGTCCAGCTCAAACTGTGATCGACAGCTCTGGCTGTACAGACACAGGCAGCATGTTCTTCCTGAAGGGGGCGGGAACAACAGCAGCTCATTGGTTGTCAGAGCAAAACAACCCATTCAGAACAGCCTAAAAAACAGGTGTTATACAATCAGGTAATATTTAATATCTTTGCAGTATTTTGAGCTGATAAACTGAAAGAGACACTGTGAGGACATTTGAAACTTTGAATAATTGCTAAAAGGAGGCAGAATATGAGACCTCTAAAGGTTGGCCAATCATCAGTCGAGACCTCTGCAGGATTCTGTTGCACTGCTGACATGTCTTGAACAACTTACCTACGTTCTATCTGCAGGGGTGCTGTTCTGCTGGTGACAAGGACTTTGGACAGATTTGTAATTAAGTTTGAATTGTGTGTTTGCTCCCAGGTGAGGCTAGACTTTTTCGATCTCCTAAGTGAACAGCACATAGAAGGTGGTCAGCGGTGGAGCAAAGTGAAAGAGAGGCTAGAGACTGACCCACGATACAAGGCTGTGGAGAGCTCCGCTCTCAGAGAAGAACTTTTCAAGCAGTTCATGGAAAAACAAGCCAAGGTAGGAGCAGCTCCTTGAACAGAGCATGAAGGTTTCATTATGTCTGTGCTTGAGATATTTGAGCTGCTTTAGAGCAGCTGTGGTGTTGTTTGAATGTATATGCAATTTTAGGGATCGAGATGAGTAGTAAATCAATGGAGTACTACTTGTACATGTACCTGGTTGATCTTTCTCCCTATTTGATCTTTTCTCTTCACTATTTATGAGATTTGAGCACATGTTTGGGGGAAACATGATCTTTTACTGTTAAAATTTCCTCTTGTAATACAGCTTTTGCCCCAATAAAAGGGAATATTTTATGCAATATTTACATCAGATATTCTTTTTGAATGTTTTTTTTTGTCACATCTAATGACAAATGAAACTCATAGACCATGTGTGTCATCTCCTACAGAGCGTGGACATCGAAAAGGAGCGAGAGTTGGAGCGGCAGGCTCGGATCGAGGCCAGTCTCAGAGAGAGGGAGCGGGAGGTGCAGAAGGCCCGATCAGAACAGACCAAAGAGATCGATCGAGAAAGAGAGCAGCACAAGAGGGAGGAGGCCATCCAGCATTTCAAAGCTCTCATGTCTGATATGGTGAGGGTCTCTTATTTTAGTCCCTTAATTAAGCCCTGCAGTATGATAAAACATATACAAAGATCATAGTGAAGGTTTCATTAAGTCTTAAATTGTGCAAGTCATCAGTTTGTCACTTAACTCTTTTCACAAGATTTGATAAGAAAAATAGTCAAATATGATGCTGTCCATTCGTACAAGGTACATTATCTGCATTCAGGTCAACATGAGATTTTCTAGCTACAGTTGTAACTCGTATAAGGTAATCATACAGGATGTTTTTGACAAAAGCATTGATCCCACTGAGCATCAAATAATTACATTTAACACATTTATTGTTTATTCACTCCTCAGGTACGTTCTTCAGATGCAACGTGGTCAGACACCCGTCGTAACCTGCGGAAGGACCATCGCTGGGAGTCTGCGTCGCTGCTGGAGAGAGAGGAGAAGGAGAAGCTGTTTAATGAACACGTAGAAGCCCTGGCCAAGAAGAAGAAGGAACATTTCAGACAGCTGCTGGACGAGACCAGCATGGTGAGAAGTCAAACCGTTCAGCTGCAAAAAGCCAAAAGCGCCTGGACAAGTTGCCTGTCAGCTTTAATGTGAATTCAATTTTGTATATAATCTGGATGGTTTTAATTGTTAGTCAGATCTTTTTGTGGACTTTAGCTAATTATTCTCACATTTTATGCAAAAAAGTTAATGACAGATTCTTTTGTTTGTGTTGTAGATCACTCTGACAACTACATGGAAGGAGGTGAAAAAGGTCATCAAGGAAGATCCTCGCTGTATTAAATTCTCCTCTAGTGACAGAGTAAGACTTCTACACACTAACCTCACACCTGTCATTTTGTTTCCATGCTAAAAAGGATAAAATTAGTTACTTCATGACAGCAATTCACGGGAGTTCACAGGTTGGAATGAAGGTTAAATTTAACACATCAGACTAATATCATCAGCTTGCTTCCATTTATCAAGAGAGTGCTTCATATTTTTATGTATCTTAATGACATTTTATTGCAAGTCTAATTACATTGTAATCTATATATTTATGTGAAACACAGATGCATTTTATGAAGTTTTGATATCTAATGTATTCACCTGTGTTTGTAGAAGAGACAGCGGGAGTTTGAAGACTACATCAAAGACAAATACATTACAGCCAAGGCAGACTTCAGAACCTTGCTGAAGGAGACAAAGTTCATCACGTACAGGTTTGTACACTCACTTTTACAAACTTAATGAACATAATGAGAACAAGTGTCAGCAGTATGCAGTATATGCAGATTTTTTGTTGTATAGGTTCAAAAGATATAACCTGATGCAATTACAGCCCAGGAGTAATAGAAATTCTTACCTTTCATATGGCCAGGTCCACAGTCAATTGTCCCACTGCTTTACATATAGTTTCAGTTAATTAATGTTTGAAATGGGTCAGATTTGTTCTTCTCATTTTTCTGTGCCTAATAACTTTGTAAAATCACATACAAGTAGCATTTGAGTTGAAGCTGTAAACATGTAGATAATGATTGTCTGAGATGCTTTTATCTGCTCAGTATTCACATTATTTGAATTAACTACTTTCTTGCACGGTAGAACATGGCAGTAGTTGCTGTACATAAATGTCACCCAGACCTCCTAGAGGCACAGTGAGGATGTTTTTCCTAGTGTTGCGACCCTGCTTCTGAGTCCTCTCTTTCTGCCTCCCCTCTCCAGGTCGAGAAAGCTGATCCAGGAGTCCGAGCAGCATCTCAAGGATGTTGAGAAGATCCTTCAGAATGACAAGCGGTACCTTGTTCTGGAGTGTGTTCCCGAGGAGCGTAGGAAGCTCATCATGTTCTACATTGAAGACCTAGACCGCCGCGGCCCGCCACCTCCCCCCACCGCCTCCGAGCCCACTCGACGCTCTACCAAGTGACCAATCATAATCCCCTCTCGGCCAGCGCCCTTCTCTTCTTCGCCCTCCCTTTGGCCAGAGCATGACCTCCCATCAGCGCTCCCTGAACCCCGCCCTCCAGGCTCACGGCCGGCCTTGCAGTGTTATTGCTGGGGGTTCCGTTGCTTAGAGATGTACCATAGAGATGAACGGTTAAGGTCTCTGTGTTATGTCGCCCCTTAGCCCTGAAATAGCCCTGCATTTAAGGCAACAGCAGGGAACAGAGGCTACCTGATCTCAAGGTGACCCTTGACCCCTCACCTCTGACTGACCACATAAGAGGCAGAGGGATAGTGATAAGGCTGCTGCCCGAGCAGCCACACAGGTGTAAGATAGCTGATGTAAATGAAGTTGAGTGTGTGTGTGTGTGTGTCTGAGTGTGTGTGTGTGTGTGTGTGCGCGCGTGCGTGCGTGTGTGTATGTGTGGTGCGTGGATATGTGAGTATGTGTGCATGTGTTTGAGGCGTCCTTAAGCCTTACTGCTCCACTGTGCCAGTCATTGTTTCAGCGGCTCAGTGTGAATGTTAGTTTCTGCTCAGTGGTTTACTCCAATGTTGCAGCAGTTTCTCTGTGGAAAGAAATAAAGGCAACTTCCACTGTTTTTCAATACGTTGTGCTGTGCATTCTTTTAATAAATTACATCTGGCATACATTTTACACTCTTTTATCTTACTGGACGAAGCTCAGCTGAAGCTAGCACAATGGAGAAGGTCACCTAAAAGTTTTCATTCAGGGTGATACTTGGGGATGCTGTGTCATGATTAAATTAGGTGCAGTGTTACATTTCAATTGTGCAGCACTACAATAACAAGAATGTGCATTTCTGGGAGAAAGTGAAGTGATGCCAGTGGCACTCAGTAAGCACAAACACCTCCAGCTTGTGTGACCCACACAATGTTGGAAAAGCAATTAAATGTTTGATTTTTATTTTAAAAAGCATTTTAATGTCATTTTATTTTACAATCCAAACATGAAAAAGTGAGAGACAGTCTCATTTGCAGTGAATGGCAGCTCAATAGGGAGTTTCATATAAATTAGGGTTTATAAAACCAAAATACTAAATTTCAAGTTAGATATTCACGTAGTATTTTTGGGACCAGATTAAGTCTCAAAAAGGATCTGCTGGTGCATTTAAGGTATATTAGAGCAATAAGCTTTACAAGTTGAGAACCTACCAGGAAAGTTAGGCCTGTTCTTCCATAAGATTTAATTCATTTTAAAATGAATAAATATTAACAAAAAAATTACTGCTACACATATGTGCACTGAATTTAAAAGCACATATTGCACCTGTGGAACCGTTTTTCAATGTTATAAATGTGTTGAAACAAAATATTATACATTATAAAGGACGCAGACTGGTTACCTGCTCTGACGCCTCTGATTGGTCCAAACAAGCCAGCACTCAGATCACGTGATATTGCCGGACGTGGATGTTGATTAGCGGATTGATCTGCGTTATCGCCATCATCAATACATCCTTTCTTAGCATCCGCAACCCACTCAAAACGAAAGATTATTAACACACAAGCGACAGCAATCCGGGATGTGAATGTCCTCGCTGTGGTTCTAGAGTCGGTGTGGAGGAACCAGAGCAGCTAGCATCATGTGTCGTTAACGGAGCGGTCGCTGATCTGCAGCCGCTCTCCTCTCCTCTACCACCGGTCACATCTGCCCTGTAGCCGCGATGGGTGGCCGTCTGCTCCCGCTTTTCGCCGTCTTGTTGGCAGCCCGGTTGACTGTCGGAGACCCGGAGGGACCCGCTCATGTCGACGGAGCTCCGCCTTCAAAAATAGGCAAGAATATGAGCGTGTTAAAGCGTCGTAGCCAGCCGTTAGTTTAGCTAACATTAGCTTGCAGCGTCGGCTAGTCTGACGCAGAGGTAACGATGCTGGAGCCAAGTGCTGGTGTTGTTTCAATGAGCAGACGTAACTTGGAGATGTCTTCACCTTATCAGATACACAAGTATTCCTGTCAGGTTTTGTAACTGCACTTAGGGGGGTAACATTCAGCTCGCTAATATTTTGTCAGCAGTGGCGTCTCTAGAAATGTTTCATTGGGTGGCCAGATGGGGCTACTGAAAAGGTTCGGGTGGCAAAAAAAAAAAAAAAAAACAATCCCAAAAGCCATAACTGAATTTTAGGAGTTTTATTACACTGTTGTGCTACAGAGGTGTGTTGAAAAGTTCCTTCCAGACATGCACTCTTTTCCATTAATCTGATGGCATCTGATGGTGTCAGCTTCATGTCTAGGTCGGATGTCGTCAAATTAAGGGATAGACATGCACAAGCGAGAATACTTCAAGTTGTGTGATTAAGAAAAGCTTTTTCCTCATTTCTGTACCAATATTGGACTGAAAACATCACAGACGTCGCCAAAGATACAATTTGTGCCACAATATATATATTTACAAAGAAATTTATGTACTGCCAGCTTGATATATCAAGTACTTTTCCAAATAAGTCTTTTTCAAGAGTACAGTAAAATGATATTCAGCTGTGATGGAACTCATGTTGGAACTGTTCAGCACATGATTTAGGTTGCTTATAAACTGTGTGTAACCGCTCACCTGCCTGAGGTGAAGAAAACTACACAGCGTTGTTTAATGTTAAATCCTGGACAATTCTGTCTCTGTATCTGGGGTAATTTATGATTTTGAATAATTAATGAAGTTACCGCTTTGTTGTGTTTTAATGCATGCCCCTTTCTTGCTTTGGAGACGCTCATGTGGATGCTGCGTCAGCCCAAAACCCACAGATATCAAGTGCACAAAGATACACAACAGAGAAACGTAGCAAATCTCATGTGCTCTCAGTACAGCATCACCTCAACACTTCCTCGAAGACAGCATTGTGTCTCATCCTCATCGTTAGTCCATCTGTAAATACTCTATGGCTAACCAGTTTAAACTGCAAAATGTTAGGGAACATTAATTTTGAATTATCAGTTGTGATTACTAACACTCAAAAGCGAAGCAGTAAATTCTGCATGATGAATCTTATTTAGATGTGAGAGATGTTTCATTTCTAAATCACAGTCTGATTTCACATTCCTTTTGTGCTCCAGCGGTGGTGGGGGCGGGGATAGGAGGCAGCGCCACGGCCCATTTCCTGCGGCAGCACTTTGGCCCAGAAGTCCAGGTGGACGTGTTTGAGAAGGGTGAGGTCGGAGGGCGTCTCGCCACTGTGACTGTCAATCACAATGACTATGAGTCTGGAGGCTCCATCATTCACTCTCTCAACCTCCACATGCAGGAGTTTGTCAAACAGCTGGGTGAGTTTATACATAAAGAACAAGGCACAAAAGGTCAACAGGTCATTTTCTGGTTATTGTTAATGGCATGGTTGCATTTTTAGTAGTTCAAAAGCTTTGAATTAATAATAAATAATATATTTTCCCCTGTGCTCATATTTGTCAGTAAGTTTGTCAATGTCAGCTTATAAAAGGAAGGATTTTTTTATTTTCTTTGCTTTGAATACTTCATAATGCTTCTTGTCCTGTTTGAACTAATGCAAATTTAAATCACTCCCTGTGCGTGTTTGTCCTTTTTGTCATCCTGTATTTGCCTCACAAGGTTTGAAGTATCGTCGCAGCGTGGCAGGAAAGACAGCAGTTTTCAACGGCGAAGAGATGATTCTGGAGGAGACGGACTGGTACCTGTTGGACCTGTTCCGACTGTGGTGGCGCTACGGCATCAGCTTCATACGTCTGCAGATGTGGGTGGAGGAAATTATGGAGAAATTTATGAGGTAAGCCAAAATTATTAATGCCCCATTTGCTGTTGAATCTCAGTGCTGCTTGGCATGCTGGGTAGTTGACAGGATGTGACTGTGGTGCAACTAAAGGCTGCTAGATGCTCCTGTGTCAAAGCGTCATACATTTGTTTGTAGATGCCCAGTGTGTCTCTGGAGGTGCATGGAGGGCCCCCGGTTTAAATGATTTCTAATTGTTCATATTTTCTTCCATCTTTTTGTGGTGTCAGTAATTTTACTTGATAGTGAGGCTGACATCTAAATATACTTCATCTTTTACTTCTGCCCAGCAAATTTGCATTTCAGATCCAGCAAAGCTTTTTCTTGCCAGAATTGTTTTCTCTGTCAGAAAATAAAGCACAGACCATAAAAACAATAAGTTAAAGCTAGGGCAGGCAGTAATCTGGGAAAGACACAAAAAAGCAGCTCAAAACCGTTAGTGATCCATCCCAAGAGTTCAACGTGTCCTTTGGCTTTTAATATAGCTCACCATTACCTTGCCATGGCGATACATGGCAACTTAAACAGAACGTCTGTAAATAATTTTCTCCTGTCGAAATTCCTCATGAATGTAGACATGAAATTATAGAGATCCTAAAAAGATTAACATATGTGCGCTAATACTTTGATCAGGTGGTCCGCTGCAGCCATTAGCAGACTGTATCGTGCTATAAAGTTGCAAAGTATAACTTCTGCCCTTTTACTACATTTGTTGGGGCATCAGACTTGTGATGTTTAAACATTGTCATCTGTGGCTGATTCTCTCTCTGTTGTATATTCTTCTAATGCAGTTTTATTCTTGGTTCCTTGGTGTTTTTTAAGAGTTAAACTTTATTTTTTGTTTTTGTATGTGTGTAGTGTTAACATCAAACACGCTTGCTGGCATTTATAGATCTTGCAAATTTTTATGGTTTTACAGATTTTTCCATTAAGAAGGTACAGATGAGCATCCGAAAGGGGGGTCTCTGGTGATATAAGTTTGTCTCCCTTTTTGTGGGATTGCTTTGCAGCATAGGCAGCTGTTGTCAATGCTTAAATAGCAACTTTTCCTTCAGGATTATCTGCCATTGAATCAGGCTTTTTGCTGTGTGACAGGACACGCTGAACAGCTGGTACGACTAGCACCCCCTCTCTGTGAACCGTGATTGGATAAGGATCTCGTCACAGCCTAAATTTTACAAATCAAGAAAGCTGAACCAAAAGGAGGTGCAGAAGTCCAGTTTCCTCTTAGACCTCTTGAGTTACAATACGCTGAAAGGTTATTGTGAATTATGAAGATATTTTTGTCTTGTGACGCCAAAAAACAACTGCCTACCTCAGCTTTAAGACATAAATGCACAACACTGCTTACTGGTGATGTGTTTGGTGCTTGAAGCCTAATTTGTGCTATTTATTATTTCGTATGCCTCAGACATCTGCACCAATAATCGCTGCAAAACCTTGACTCATTGTGTGGCTTTCAGAGCATGAGGTCTGCATAAATGCAGACAGCCATCTGGCTCAATTTTACCCATAAAATAATGTGCCACTGTGATAAAATTCAAGCTCTCTTCAGCTTTTACCAACAAAATAACGCAGTGTGAAACAACATAATATTATTTCAGACTGCCAGCAGTGTGAAACCTCACATATGAGTGTGATATTCGGCCAATTTTTCAATTGTTTTGCCTTAATTATGTTTCCTTGACTCATTTTCTACTTGAAAAATGAACCAGTCTCAGATTTTCACTCTACCCTTCCTCCTCCACCTCCATTCAGGGACCTCTATTTCCTCCCTCTGAGAATTATTAATCTTGGTACCCGTTTGGTCATTCTTGCCTTCTAAGTCGATAACAGTAAGCTTGTATATCTTTCTGTCTGTCGCTGTCTGTTTTGGTCATGCACGGATAACTGCTAGGAAATTTGTCCCAACTTCAAGCTCCTAGGAAAAAAGCTGTCAATTTATGAATACCTCTGTGGATTTAGTAATTAACCACCATGATTTGTGTGTTTGTGCAATAAAGGATCTACAAGTACCAGGCCCACGGCTACGCCTTCAGCTCGGTGGAGGAACTGCTGGACTCTCTTGGGGGCAGCGGCTTCATCAACATGACTCGCAGACCGCTCTCTGATTCGCTGCTGGAGCTAGGTGTGTCGCAGCGCTTCATCGATGAGGTCATCGCGCCCGTCATGAGGATCAACTACGGACAGAACGTCAGCATCCCTGCCTTTGTAGGTCAGCTGAGTGTGAAGAAATAAGCGTTTAGAGGAGGAGGGAGTGAAGGGGTGAAGAGACGGGAGGTGGCAGCGTGGAAGAGTGACAACGGAAAGGCTGCAGTGGCGAATTTAAGGCCAGTAATGAGCCGAACACTGCCGATGTAGGTCAGGAGAGAGGAAAGGAAGAAGAAAGAAAAGAAAGATACAGGAGACAAGGATGGGAGGAGCTGGGAGTTGAGAATAGAAGAGAGGAAAGCAAGGTGAGAAGAGGGGGTGGCCTGTGGGAGCGAGAGAACAGGGAAGTGTGTGGGCAGCTGATAATTGGTTTATAGCACTTGGCACTGTCTGTTATGAGTGAGTGTGTGTGTGTTTCAGGCGCCGTGTCTTTAGCTGGTGCCCAGAACAACCTGTGGGCGGTAGAAGGAGGCAACAAGCTGGTGTGTTCTGGCCTGCTGAAGATGGCCGGTGCTAGCCTGCTGCAGGCACAAGTCAACTCCATCTCGCCCGTCCACTCAGGTACTCCACCCCGATGTTTTCTGAATGGCATCATGTCGAGCTATTGATCCACTTAAATTCAATTTTATAAGGATTCTTTGGTCAGACGTGACAACAGTAACACCGTCCACAGGGCTGGTTCTAAGCAGAATATTAGCCCCTCTGCACTGTTAGAATCTAACAGCCTGTACTGTGGAGCAAACAGGGAACACGAGGGAGATGGAGGGGTGACACATGGGGCAGCTGTGGCTCAAGAGCTGGGGATTTGACATTGGTGGTTCGAAAAATGGAGACACAAGTTTGAAACCACATTTTCACATCTAGTTTTCAAAGTAAAACATTTCACTACTAGAGTATTCAGCGGTATTTAAATTTCAGCACAAACTATTCAGCACTGATTAGATTTATCAGACAGGAGTTTAATTGTTCAAATCCTTATCCAGTAGTAAAATGCAGGTTACTATAATAACATTAAAGCTGGCCTTGTTATGTGAAAACGCATCTGAATGACCGACAGAGTCTCAGCTCAGCTCCACCGTCTTCACTGCATCACTGGCAGCTCTCACACAACTCCTGCAGTCTGCTTTCAGACAACGTCTTACAAGTTTTCGCTCTTTTTCTGTGATTTTATCAAACAGCTGTATCAAAGCATGCGTCTCCGGATTGAGAGGGACTTTGTTTACACACGTGGTACAGCATTAGTAACTTGATATATTATTTAATCATTGCCATCTTACAGTAGCCCAGGATGAGTCCAGCACTACTCGAGCTCTTACTACATTTTTTATTTAAAGGAAAAATCCAAATATTGTTACCTCTCGAGAATCACGTTACTTGTTTTTCTGGCATGTCAGTTAGATTTTTACAGGAATTTTTCGGAAGTGCAATAATATCTGTAGCAGTAAAAAAAACAACAGCCATTTTTCAAGTGTTTATTATTTACCATGCATTGTGTCTATTGAGAAACTACAGTAAATACAACTACAACAATTTTCTTTTTTGGACAGTAAATAGACCATATATATATGTGTGTGTAGTGAAATAGTGCTATGTGGCTGTCATATATATATATGACATATATATACACAATACAGACCAAAAGTTTGGACACACCTTCTCATTCAAAGAGTTTTCTGTATTTTCATGACTATGAAAACTGTAGATTCGCACTGATGGCATCAAAACTACGAATTAACGCATGTGGAAATATGTACTTAACAAAAAAGTGTGAAACAACTGAAAATACGCCTTATATTCCAGGTTCTGCAAAGTAGCCACCTTTTGCTTTGATTACTGCTTCGCACACTCTTGGCATTCTCTTGATGAGCTTCAAGAGGTTGTCACCTGAAATGGTCTTCCAAACAGTCTTGAAGGAGTTCCCAGAGATGCTTAGCACTTGTTGGCCCTTTTGCCTTCACTCTGCGGTCCAGCTCACCCCAAACCATCTCGGTTGGGTTCAGGTCCAGTGACTGTGGAAGACATGTCATCTGGCGCAGCACCCCATCACTCTGCTTCTTGGTCAAATAGCCCTTACACAGCCTGGAGGTGTGTTTGGGGTCATTGTCCTGTTGAAAAATAAATGATGGTCCAACTAAACGCAAACCGGATGGAATAGCATGCCGCTGCAAGTTTCCTTGTAGCGCTTGATGGTTTTTGCGACTGCACTTGGGGACACTTTCAAAGTTTTCCCAATTTTTCAGACTGACTGACCTTCATTTCGTAAAGTAATGATGGCCACTCGTTTTTCTTTACTTCGCTGCTTTTTTCTTGCCATAATACAAATTCTAGCAGTCTATTCAGTTGGACTTCAGGTGACTACCTCTTGAAGCTCATCAAGAGAATGCAGAGTGTGTGCAAAGCAGTAATCACAGCAAAAGGTGGCTACTTTGAAGAAACTAGAATATAAGGTGTATTTTCAGTTGTTTTACACTTTTTTCTTCAGTACATATTTCCACATGTGTTAATTTGTAGTTTTGATGCCTTCAGTGTCAATCTACAATGTCAATAGTCATGAAAATACAGGAAACTCATTGAATGAGAAGGTGTGTCCAAACTTTTGGTCTGTACTGTATATACACACACACATATTGTGTGTGTGAGTGTGTAATTATATACTAGTTGCATCATAAAAGTAAAGTTATAAAGATCATAAAGTTTGATCTTCAAGATGTGCAGACACACTTTAACAAATCAGATAATCATGCACAAAATCTGACAGTTCAATACCTCCTGTCTACTAGAACTCACAACTCATTTTGTGAAAGGCAAAAACCAGCATGGAGAGGCTGAGAGTTGCTTTTCTGTTCCTGTCACACCACAACAAACATGTATGCTGTAGCAATATAGATCCAATTTAAAATTGTCAATTTGAGGCAGGAAAAAAATATCCTTGAGTGTATAACATTTTTGCATTTTTTAAAGATTTACTTCAAAAGAATGTCTTTCTTTTTCTTTTTTTTGATGGTGACTGGAAATTCTGTGGAGGCAGCAAGAGAATAGTGTAGTCTCTGAGGGACAGTCTTACTGGTCGACTGCGTGGGCCACACAGAGGCCTCATCCTCCTCTGATAAGAGCTCCATCCGGTCGTCAAACGGGTCAGCCCGACTGAAAGAAATTGGCACTAACAATTTTTCTTTAGAATAAAACCTTTTTTTTAGTCCAAAATCTTCTGGAGTCAGTCGAGCATCCTCTTTAGTCCCTGTCACTGAGATTGTTGGCCATCGGTCACTCAGAAGAGACTTCAGTTTGTCCTCGGCCTTTGACACAGCTGCAGCCATTTTCTCATAGTACTGCACAGTAAAGTCATGGGTGTTGGGTGATTGTGGAGTTTCACTCAGATGTGACAGAGAGGGGTAGCTGTTGAGAAAATGGAGGTGATCTTCTGTTGATGAGAGCTTCTCCAGTTCTGCGTCCTTCCTTCTCAGCTCAGTGATCTCCCGCTGCATCTCGTCCCGCTGCTCTTTGACTCGA